ATGTAATATGGTCTCTAGAGGCTTTAAAATGTTTGTAATCTGTGATGCGTTTAACTTGCAACTGTTAATGCATGCAAAAACCATCAGACCATCAGTATTCTGCTGTTTGCATTATGCAACATTTCCATGACATCAGTTTGAAAGATCATGATATTTTAGCCAACAGTTATGAGGTCAGCAAATCCAGTTGGAGCCTTGGACCCGGCAGCATCACACATCTGTGCGATTATTTGGTGGTTTCCAGGCAACAGCGGGCCGTTGTTCCCGCAGAGGTCCATTGAACCAGCGTAATGACATATTTAATAGATACGTTTTCCATCATATGCAATTTAAAGTGCGCAAATAAAAGATAGAGTCTTTTATTTTATTCAAGTGCAACTGAATGGGATCTCATTAATTCTCAGGATACAGGATCCCTGTAATTGAACTTATAACCCTTGTTTTTGCAGGCTAGAACTTTGACCATTAAGATTCCACTGCCTTACGTAAGATCAGGAGTGCTAATAATATGTAATAATGTTAACAGTTGTGACAGAGCTGGATTGAAAACTCATTTACATATAAGTTTAGCCTATAGAGGATTGTTATGCATCACCCAACAGAATATGGGAATCAAATGGAAACAATTAACGATTTAGTAATGGCACAAAAAATGTAATTATGAAAGGTGCAAGAAGCCCCCCCGGGCCATTTACCAAAGAAAATGTTATGTATTGTTAGGATTTTAGTTTTTAATATATATTGTTTTTACAAATGAGGATGTCCCTGGATGCAGTTTTTTCCATTCTGTACATTACAATGTTGTGATTCCTAAATTCTCATTTAGTATTTAAAATGATTATGAAAATGAATAATTTATCTGCCATTGGCTGTAATTTGAAAATAATTACTGCCTCATCAATAATATCAGTGCATCCAGAAAATACACTGAATAAAATTGTTCTTATAGCATCTCTACGATTTCAGATTCATCCTGTAAATACAAACTGGAATTATTCGGTTTCTAGATGCATTGCCAGGTATCATAATACACCCTAATATAAGCTGACATAAGTGGAGGAAATGAACCAAGATGAGTGCTGTTTAGCTTTCCCATAATGCTGTGAGATATTACATGAAGATTATGTTCTCTATAGAACACAAACCCATTTATAAAAGCCTCCTCTCATACCGGTGTAGCCTATCCAGACTCAGTAACCTGGTGGCCTTCTTTGCTTACAGTGAGGTTAACCGCCAGCCTTGCATGAGAGGATGTTGGCAGCGCTGTGTTCCTTAACTTTGCACTTTGCTCCGAAGGGAAGAGATCTAGTCACAAAGAAGACATTTGGGCCACTAATCTGCTTTGGGGAAGCGTTCCCTGAACACAGCCCATCTTGGAAAAGAATGAATGTTTTACCTGTGCCAGCAATTCATAGATATGTTTTTATATTCACTGTATGTGATGACGGACAAAGTCTTGACATTTATCTGTAGAGCTGAGCATTTTGTTGATTTATTCTTATGTTCCATAAGGCTTTGGCTTATGTTGGCACGCTGCGCTAAGCAGTAAGACACTAAGTGCCAAGTAAAAACCATGTCAACTACAAAAAGATATCTGTCTTTGAAGCTATTATACAGAAGTTGGCGTGAAGAGCAGTTGCATGACCTCCCAAGTGTAGTTATGATGAAAAATATGTTAAATGTACCTTTCTGTGGGCAAACCCCTTATGTGTGGTAAAATCACAAAAACTCACTGCCTTGTGTGGCGTATTGCTTTTGTAAAATGGCAATGACAGCTATAGAATAAATGACACCAGCATTTTTCATTTATTACTAGTACCTTGGCACAGTAATGTAGGATTAAGCTGATGTGCAGTCACAGGCGTACATTCATTGTCTATTTGACAATTAATGATGCGGTAATCTGTAGGACACAAAAGAAGATGTTTTGAATGTTTCAGCTGTTCCTCTCCATATTATGAAAGTCAGTTATGAAATATTTAATGCCACAAACCTGGGAAACGTTGGCAATAATTAGTTTGTTAGACGTGCCCATAGTATCAACCCAGTAACTAGTGATGCACTGAAATGAATTTTGTACAGAATCTCCGAAATTGTAGCTAAAATTTTCATTTAGCCAAAACCCAAAGCTGAACATATTGTGTAATCGGTGATTACATTTGTGTAATTAAAGTGCTGTTTATGCTGTTTATGCTGTTCCCAGGTGATCAATTAAACCAGTCTTAGTCAAGTTCTTTGGCGATGAGTCTCCTCTCAATATTTTAGAAGAACAAATGTTTCATATCGCTACTCTAGCATAATTTTTGGTCATGATGAAGTGCTGATATATGTATGATATGTATGTAAGATGTGTGTGTGTGTTTTGCTGTTTTATTTTCTGTTGCCAAAATGTTGCCAAAACATGATTTTGTGATTTAAAAACCTGTGAACCAACTCCTGAAATGTATAGTTCACAGTTTCTTGCATTTCCTGGAAGTTGAACCATGACTTTGCTGTTGTTAGCGCAATGCTCTACTGTTTGATCTACAGGAATGCAAAAAGTTTTGTATTGGTCAAGCAATCTGATTGGATTGGATTTTCACAAGTGTTTTCCAGTTTTGTGTGCAATATCAAACAGTGAGATAACAAACTGTGGGGGTCCAGACCACCCTTGTCATTGGTACATGGTGGCCACACATCAAATAGTTTGAGCAACATGGAGTTAAATGGTCAAATTCTGTTCATATTTTTTGAGAAGGTTATGGTGTGTATGAAAAGTTTCCCGAGGTCTTTCCACAGTCTCATAAATCCATTAGATCCTGTTTGGGTTTGTTTCTTGGCCAATCACAGAAAAATTAGTAATTCTGTTTTCTCTCTGAACGTAGTTAACTTGTAGAGTTCAGTTTGTTCTCAGGGCTTCCAGAGGTTCCTCCACTGGATAGCACGTCTTAGCGGTAAAGCAGGACTGGTTTAGCCGGTGCCTGTGGTTTGAGCAATTTTTAGTCAATCTGCTCTGAAAAAAAACTCTCCCTGTAATTCATTGGATATAAATAAACACGTCACATTTGCCTGGATTACAGTAGACACACATTTTAAAGCTTGGCCCAACAGGACTATGCCTGCATCTCTCAATGTAGGTCATGTTCCTGATCTGGAGAAATCTGAACTAAAAAAGTTGTAGACTTCTATCAACAGCTGCGTTTTGTGGTTTTGAAGTCTTTCAACAACATCCAAATGTTCTGAACAAGACGTGGTTTTGTATTTCATTGATTAATTTAAATCATATGTTCTTGGAAAACCAAACAAGCATGTCAGTTTACTTGTCTCATGTGGGTTACATTTACGTTTTCGCATTTAGCAGATGCTTTTATACAAAACCGTGAATTTAGTGTATACGTCGATTTGTGGAGAATCTTAGGCTACGTTTACACGACAGCGATGTAGTCAAAAACTGAAACGTTTTTCCCTTGCGTTTTTAAAAAGTTTCACGTATACACGACAACGTTTTTAAAACAATCTGCGTTTACACATATCTGTGAATACGGCCAAAAACGCTGTATTACGTATGCCAGACCAGTCGTTGGCGCTGTCACCTTGTTAGTAAACAGTACCTGTAGGGAAGTGAAGATTATATGATGTATATGATGCGTTTCCACTGTTGGTTGTAATATTGGTGAAGTAAATCCACACTTTGCTGAAGAAGCGTTAGCAAACTCTTGAGCAGCAAGAGCAGTACCATGTACTCCGCCATTGTTGTGTATGTTTGTTCACGCTTGCCTTTAAAATCGACACGTACTGCGCATGTCTACATACCTAACACGTACTATGCACGCGCATGACGTCACCATTTTCAAAGATTCCCATTTTGGGTGTTTACACGGAAACGATAACGGTGGCGATTTCAAAAACTTGCACTTTGAAACCCGTTTTCAAAAATATGCGTTTTCGGTCCCCAAAACGCCATTGTCATGTAAACGGACAGGCAAAACGCATAAAAAGTTTCCCGTTTTTGGCTGAAAACTTTGTCATGTAAACGGCCCCTTATTCACGTGCCGTTGGTAGCCCCATGATCTACAATAGGGTTTCCCAAATCAGTTGATGAAAAGCTAGTAATTAAATTTAATATACAATTTAAATAAATCTGGCTGGTGGCTGCACAATTAATTGTAATAAAAACAAAATCGTAAAAAAAAAAGAAAAAGCTTAGTGTAAATATCAAAATAAAGGCTGTGATTTAATTAAGTATATAGTCTGTATTCTGCCAAAATAAAAGCTTGAAGATTTTAACATTTGAAAGTGAAGAATTTAAGACATAAATATTAATATTGTAACTTGCCGTGTAAAATAAAATAATTCATAAAAATGTATAAAAATCATTTATTAAATCTTTATTATATAAATATTAAATAAATATCAAATATTCATTTGTTATTTTATAGGACAATTGTAATGTATTTGTCTTTTTATTTTATAACTTTTATATTTTAAGTCTAATTATATCAAAATAAGGACTCAAAATGCTAAAAAATGATTACTTGAATATCATGTGACCATTAGCAAACCATGAACATGCAAATGTGACATTAAATTATTGAAATATTAACTTAAAATCTCAGGGGTTACTTTAAGTAAATATTTGATGTCTAACTGGTTTAGCTGACAAAAAGTCTGGAAAGCCTGATCTTCAAGAAGAACTATAGGAACTCAAATGAACCCACTGCACCACACAATCTACATTAAAAAGATACACTTCATTTAAACCTTCTAAATGTAGTATCACAAAATGTATTACAATACTGCATAAACCTTTAGAAAGTATAATGCATTGATTTTTCTACAGAGGCGACTTGCTGCAAATGGACAGGAAAATGACCTGCGCCCTGCCTAAATTGCACAGACATTTTTCCACCCAAGGCCGTGTGGAAGAATGTGTTGATATGAATTGCTGATTTTGTTAATACGCCAGCATAAGTGATTCCTGATGTTACGCTTTTTCTGAAATGTCCCATTCTTCTCCGCAGCTGCCACGGAGGGGCGAGTCAACGGAGGTGAGGACTTCTTTCAAAAGGTATGGAAAACCACATTGCTTTGGCAGCCGCATGCGGCGGTCGAAAATAGGATAGCATCATGTTGCATGTATAATTATTTCTGCTGAAGGACATACTGCAATTAGTGCTGCACGATACAGCAGTGCAACAGCTTTGCGGTTCTCAAGCCTCAAAATACTACCATTGCGGTAATAGAATAAATGAAAAATTTTACTGCCCCTAAACTTTTGAATGGTGGTGTTCCTTTGGTGCTGAATTATCACCATATTAATTATTACAATTTTATTCTAAATCAAAAACAAACAAAAAAATCCCAAATTACATGAGTGATATATGTGATACTTTACTTGGCAATGCTAAAATCCCCGTTAAAAATCTGCATCATAAAATGGAAAAATAATAACATTCAAACTGATCTCTGCAAAAGTGTACAGGAAGTCCGTGCAAAAGTGTGAAGTGTGTGATAAATCACATTTACTTCGAGAGCCTAATCAGTGACTCGTGACACAACGACTTTTCTTGAAGGATACTCAAAACAGGTCTCCTGTACGTTTATGGTCACGCCAAAACAAGCACACTTAGCGTATTTGGATTCAGTGGGGTAGAACAGTTTTTGGGGCGAACACTTGCCTGCCTAATTGGCAGGCTGTGAATAAATACAAGCTGGAGAAGCCAGACAGCTCAGGGCAGGAATGAGATTCAGCACCTGAATCCGAGCATGCTGGCCTTCAAAATAAACACACTCGCAGTCGCAGGCAAGTCGATATTGGTAAGAAATACAGTCCATGTCAAAGTTCCATTTGTTTTAACCTGTAAGGTGTGGAAAAATAATCAGACCCAGTTAAGAGAGCTTGGAAAGTGCCTGTTCTGGAATATACGGCTGGCTGCACCGTGAGCCTTGGGCTGCCACAAATTTGGGTAGTCGCAGCTGATGCGAAGCTCCAGGAATGTGATTTTCCTGATTTTCAAACAAACACAACCTACCATATCACGAACAGTTAACAACGACTAGTTCTCAAATGACACCCTAAATGTGGATTTACAGCCTCATGGACTTTGCTCGCGTGCGTCCGTGAAGTCCATGCCTCCATACACCAAAAAAAAAAAGGAGTAGGATATAATTCTAAACCATATTCACTCAGAAACTGCTAGTACATTTCACAAATAATTACAAAGAATTGGCATTTAATGTGGAATTAAAGGAATAGTGTGGAGTATGGTATGGTATAGTATGGTTTATGTGGAGAATATAGTGTAGAGTTGTTATAAAAAAAGGCACATTTTTATTGACTCATTGTTAAAAAAAAGTCCACTCAAAAATGAAAATTAGCTGAAAATTTACTAACCCCCAGGCCATCCAAGATGTAGATGAGTTTGTTACTTCATCAGAAAAAAATCACTCTGCAGTGAATGGGTGCCGTCAGAATGAGAGTCCAAACAACTGATAAAAATATCACAATAATCCACAAGTAATCCACCCCACTTATTTGTTTCGAACTATTTTGGACTGTTTTCACTTGTAAATGTTGCTTGATCTCTGCAGATTTCTCTTCTGATTCAGACAGGATGATTTTTTCACTGGAGAAAAGCAATATTATGACTAGAGTGCTTATATTTTATCTGGAAACAATGATTTGGAGATATGTTTATTACAAACACACAGCTTTTCGCTTCATGTGTCGAGTGGATTACTTGTGGATTATTGTGATGTTTTTATCGGCTGTTTGGACTCTCGCTCTGACGGCACCCATTCACTGCAGAGGATCCATTGGTGAGCAAGAGATGTAATGCTAAATTTCAACAAACTCATCTATATCTTGGATGGCCTGAGGGAGACTACAGTTTCAGCTAATTACAATTTTTTGGGTGAACTATTGCTTTAAATTTGAAATTTTGAAGTAAAAAGACTGAAATCTTGTAAAACTCCAATAATTTTTATTTACAGCTTACAATATAGGCCATCCAATTTCCAGAAGGATCATGAACGCGTCTTTTGCAGTTGTTTTGCACCTTCTGCAAACTTCTGCTCATGCGCCAAAGTGTAGACTTTTGGACGGGCCATGTTTTGCATCTGTATTAGGGGATATTAAAAATTAAGGATATGATAGTTCTTCTGTGATATAACACAGTGTATCTCCTAAGGAACCTTGTAAATGTGATCATCAGATAAGAGTGGTATTTTTCTGCTCACGTCAACATACTTGTGCTGAAATCAAATACTTTATCTAAACACACTATGTGAGAATGTGAAATTCAGCCTGCACCCAGAGACACAAATTAATTCATGGAAAATGACCTCAGAAATTATCTCACAACAACAAACCATTTCAAAAAATGTTTCTCAAAAATGGTATAAAAGTGACTTCTTTTAAAGGACTTTTAAAGGAGTCTTTTGACTGTGAGGAAAATATTTCTGCCAACTGAGCATCCCATGCCCCAAGAGCATGTCTTTGGTAGATTGATACCAGTCCGCTAAAATTACGTGTGTTTTCAATAACAACATTGCGTTCCTGTCAATCATGGCTGCTGCGTTTTCGTGTCTGCGCCACCGGGTATTCCGAGATCCTGCACAATGATGGGATTCAGCCCTTATTCCTTAGTCGTTTCCCTCACACTGAGAGCTCTGATCAGGTAACAGCAAAACCTCAGGAAACCTCGCCTCATCTCGCTGAAAGAATGCAGCCATGATTTTAACAGAATATTGGTTTAGCTACTCATACTGCTATCTAAATACTCGTTTTGTAGACTGTTCTAGGTGCCAACTAGTTTTTGTTTTTGTTGCATTGTGCTTTTTCAGCACTGGATGAAAGAATGGTTCATTGATTTCATTTATTTGAGGTGTTTGAAAATGCATGCATGCATCACTATTAGACCTTTTATTGCATGTACTTAGGGTTGGTGGGGGAAAAAAAGAAAGGATATAAAAATGACATATTGACATATAATCAAAAAATCCCAAATTGTGCAGCCCTACAAACAAGCACACTTACAAATAAGCATTTTTGAAATCAGATTTTAATTCGCAATCACACTTTTTATCAAAAAAACAAACCAAAAAAAAAACTGCAATTTATTTTTTTCCCCAAAAATCGAGCAGCCCTAGAAAATACTAGAAGTCCCATATTTAGGGCCTAGAATATCATAGAGGCTCAACCACCTACAAACCACTCTTAAAACACTCACAATGGCATAGTAATTTACTAATGAACAATCAGTTATCAACGCTTATAGCAATGCTCTGACACCATCCACCCTAGCACTGTGGCGACACAGGCTTGCGTGACTCAGAAAATGTAAACATCTGTGTTTTAGTGTAGTTAGATAATTTTTTAGGCAAATGAAACAATGAAATGAATTGATAAATGTTCGTCTGGTCTTGCATGATGCAGTTTTTCATCTCGGGTACGGATTACCGTCATTGCTAACTCATTTTATAAACTCGTCTTTGCCCCTTCAAACCCTCAGTTGTTTATAAAATGAGGATGCATTGTAAACTGTTGTAAAGTTATTTGTCAACAGGCTGATGTGGAATTTTGGGAAGGAAATGAAAAGCAGGTGCATGATCAACTATGAAAAGCCTTAACAAAAAGTTAAGTGGGCGCAAAAAGTAAACATGGCACTTGTCTGTACAAAGACCTGTATTGTACTGTGTGCCTTAATTTAATCTATTTCATATTGGGCTTTTAAAAGTGTCTGAAATCTGAGCTCCCTCTGAGGTACATTTGTTGTATTTTATGGTTATTAAAGGAGTAATTTCCCAGAAATGAAAACTGTGTTATCTTTCACTCATCATGTCTTTCTCAATAAACTTGTATGAATTTCTTTCTTCCGTGGGGGAAAAAAAAAAAAAAAAGTTATTTTTCAGAATGTCCATGCTGCCGTTTTTTTGATACAGTGAAATTGAATGGGTACCATGGCTGATAAGCATGATTTTTAATAAATAATGAACTTAAATGTCTGTCTAATTAGCATGGGAAACTATAGAGTGCCATATTTTTTAATAGGGCAGCTCAGAAGTTAGTATCACCCTGGTTCCCCTGACAAAAAAAAATAAAAAATTCTCACTTCTGGATTATTGCTGTTTTGCATGTTTTGTTCATCATGATAATCTTCACAGATTAACACAATTTTGAAATTTGAAGCATATATCACCGGAAGTAAAAAGCCAAACATAGGCTATAAATGAACTACACCACAATCACATGACTTAAGCTTAAGCTTAAGAATCCAACAACTATTTTAGTCTTTATTTAAAAACATTTTCCCTGTAAATCTAAGTTAGAATAGTTTCCAGGAATGTGATTATAAACACAATGAAGCTGCACATATATATAAAAAAATGATCGTCATTTTTACTGTAAAATCTGTAAAAATGCTACAGTAAAAACGTGTTAATTGGTTAACAGTAAGTTTCCATACTAGATACGGTGAATAACATCTAATGTAATCTTACAGTAAAATACTGTTAAAATTACAGTTTTTGATAGTGAAAAAGGCATTGTATAATTCCCAGCATGACACTTCATATTTGATGTTTGTTTTTTTTGTTAAAATAACCATGTTTCTTCTTAAGTTTTTCCTCCTCGGTTGTGTACATTAGGATTTTATCTTACATCTAATGTTGTTAAATTAATGTTTATTGCATTATTTTAGTGTCATGCATATTACCATGATGGTGTTTAGTGTTTGTGTGAATGACACTGTGCACCTTCTATATATTAGTATAGCTGTTTGTGATGAGCTTTGATTCATCATGTGACTTTCTCATCACCACCTGTTTTTGGTAGGGATGCTCCGATCCACCTTTTTCGCCTCCGATACCGATTCCGATACCTAGGGTTCGGTATTGGCCGATACCGATACCGAACAGATACCAGTGAAGTTTTTTTCCCTCATTTAAATAAATGTAGAATTTATATATCTCTGTGTGTGGAACTGATAATCATTCTTTCACAATCTACTAGATACAGACTACTTCATTGGTGGTTGTCAGTGTATTACAATGGGACAAAACAGATAT